TTTTTTATGAAACAAAAACAATATTTTACGCTCGTTGGATTTTTATAAAATTATATATTTAATTGAAATTCTTCAAAAATACGTTTTTTCTTAACACAACATATTTTAAATAATTCATGTATATTATAATATTTAAAAAAGAAACAATTTAATATACTGATAATGATTTTATATTACTTAACATTGTGACACATAAAACTATTTGTCTAGCAGTCATTCTGTCTTTTTTTTTTTATCAACTCATTTTCGAGTCATTTTATACATTTACATTATACCTCATCAGTTAAAATAATGACTTCAGCAACACAGCTCTTATTTTATTGGTAATTTATTCTTAAATTCATAATTAAGATTATAATACTAATTGTGTATACTTATATAACAACTACTTGTTAAATACTTCTTACGGTGAACGTACACTGGTGTGTTAAAGTTTTACAAAACATTCTAATGTATCATACGTGAACAAAATTGGTGAGCTTTTGGGCGATGAATATATGGTTTACAATAACGAATCATATGAACCAAATATAAAATGAATTATTTTTTTTTAAGAACCCTGCTCGGCCTGTTAAAGCTTAGGGGTATAGCTATAGAACTGGATAAATCAAATGAGGACAAAATGCAATTGTTAGAAATTCATATAGCTACGATAGAAATACGTACGAGATCCTACGTATTTATGTATTGTTCATAACAACAACTTGTTGTACGATTACGAATGTGCATATTATGAATGTAGGTCAAAACATCTAAGCAAGTAAATGAAACGAACCAGCGAGACTACACTTTGGGCTACTTATATTATGATGTATATTTACACCAAATGTATAAGATTTATATTCTAATAAACAAAAAGTTAGCTTTAAAGGAACTTTTTATAATAAATAATTATTTAATAACTAGGTAATTGTAACTTAATTTTAAATGTTTAACTCATTTATGCCAAGGCATGATCATAAGTATACATTTGTATATTATATCTTATTGTACCTACAACAAATTGTTACAAATTTCCAGGAAAAAAACTAAACAAATCAACAATTTAGTGTTTTATTTTTTTGTAGGTATTTTTGGACGTGGTGTGGAGTTAGTAACAAATAGTGTTAACTTATTTTATGAAGATGAATTTGTATTACAAAAATACAGGATATATTTTAATCCAAATGTCGAGACAAATATCAAAAAAGAAATGTTAAATAAACATAAATCATTTTTAGGAAAATATGTTCTTGACGGAGATACTATGTACAGCTTTCGAAAACATGAGCCAGAAGTAAGTCTTTTCTAATATTTTATACCGAAATACATTTTTGTTTTACCAATTTGTTACAGAAATTTACCATAAACGAAGACAGTGGTTCTAGTGGTTCGTTGGTAATTATCAGTATAAATTATATAGGTAAAACTGAAGGAAGGGAAAGGACAGAAATTGTCTTAGAAATTGTAGATAAATGCTTAAGATATGCACCATTTATACGGGTTAGGTTAGGTTAGGTTCACGGGAGTTAATGTGGTATTATATATTAAACGATCAATTTCCGCTTTTACCTTAGATTTTAGTGCTAAAAGAATTGACCTTTACTTGAAAAACTTGAGTATTTCCCGTGGTAAAATATCTACAGCATTCAATTTAACTGTGGATACAATAACACACACGCATATATGTGCTATTTGTGATAGACCTTTTTCCCGGAAAAAAAAATTAAATCCCATATAGCCACACATTCTAACGAAAAGCCGTATACATGTAACATCTGTTATCACTTTGGGCTACTTATATTATGATGTATATTTATACCAAATGTATAAGATTATAATATTATAAATTAAAGGAGGAGAAGTTCGAAATTGAAATAGCTACGATACACATACGTATGAAATCATTTTAATGTATTGTTCATAACAATATTTTTTTTGTATGATTACGCATTAGCATATTATAAATCTAGGTAAAAATACAAAGTTACAAAACATCTAAGCAAGTAAATGAAACGAACCTGTTTACTTTTCCTAAGTATATGAATAGACCGACAACACGATGGAATATAATATGGCAACTACATTAATCTTGTTTGCTATCATCTCCTTCGTGGTGGCAGACTCGGGTTCAAAAGAAGAAATTAATCGAACAGGTACTTATATTATGTTTAAAATAATTGACTATGCAGCGTATTTATTTCATGATTTAGACCTAAAAGTCTGACAAAAATACGCCTACTTAGAATTATCAGATTTCAATTCTGGCAGAGGCTACCGTCGAAGCATGTCCAACCGCTGACGCACTATGAACGGTTCGTCGCCCGCCTGGCCAGCGGATTTCATTCGTGAAGTCGGTTTCTGTGGGAGAATCCAGTGCTACTGTGGAAATCATTGGAGGTCGTCCGGGACATCAGTTACTACGAACGCTAATCGGCTCACCACTGAGGAGGAATCATCGCGAAGGATAATGGATGAGTTACAGCGGCATAATGACCTGGAATATTTAATTCATGAATTTGTTACAGAGAACGGGGAGACTTTTATAATATCGGATGACGAGATTGATGCTCCGCAGATACCAAGTGTGGGGGATACTAAAGTTACAAGAATAGTTTCCCTATGGTATATTAAAAAATATTAACTGTCATTTTTTAAATTAAAGAACTAATAAATAATACAATTTTGATACTTTATCAATGTATTGAAGTGAAGCATATTTTTTTTATTTTTTTTATAGGTATTAAATTATTAGATTTATGATGTATGTTTTCAATTCTTTTAAGTCTAACTTATTATTTCAAAACTCAAGTTATAACAAAATTGTACGAACGTGGTAATAAGCTGAACGTTGCAGTTGCACTAGGTTGTTTGAAACCCATACAATATCTTCAATCATTGTTACCGAAATTGTCAGGGCAGAGGGTTTGCTTTTGTAGTATTCAAGACAACTGAAGGCAGAGAAAATGTTATACGACTGCAGAAACGTGATTAGGTTAGGTTAGTTTAGCGGACGACATCGTAGAAACAAGTGAAAATGGAGATGAAGATAGGTTTTGTTTTATAAGCAGTGACGACGAAGCGATTGACGACGAAGATGACCCCAGCGATGCTTCGTCGATCATCAACGACACAACGATACAACCATGGGTGCCGAATGTCAGCTCAAGTGAGGAAGACGAGTCCGAGGCAGACGGATTCTGGACACCACCGTCGACCATGGAAGATGATTTTGAAGAAGTGGTAACCAGTAATACTGCGCGACGAGGTTCACGACGCATAAACACGGCCATAAGATCTAGAGTCAGCCGTCCGGGTGTGTTTGCTGTGAGGCGTGGACGACACCGCCAACCTGTAGCGTAAGTTACAACAACATCATTATAGCATATTTTATTTAATTTTTAACGGACCACAACAATGTAGATGAAGTGACGACCATTTCGTTTCTGTGGGAGAATCCAGTGCTACTGTGGAAATCATTGGAGGTCGTCCGGGACATCAGTTACTACGAACGCTAATCGGCTCACCACTGAGGAGGAATCATCGCGAAGGATAATGGATGAGTTACCGCGGCATAATGACCTGGAATATTTAATTCATGAATTTGTTACAGAGAACGGGGAGACTTTTATAATATCGGATGACGAGATTGATGCTCCGCAGATACCAAGTGTGGGGGATACTAAAGTTACAATAATAGTTTCCCTATGGTATATTAAAAAATATTAACTGTCATTTTTTAAATTAAAGAACTAATAAATAATACAATTTTGATACTTTATCAATGTATTGAAGTGAAGCATATTTTTTTTATTTTTTTTTATAGGTATTAAATTTTTAGATTTATGATGTATGTTTTCAATTCTTTTAATTCTAACTTATTATTTCAAAACTCAAGTTATAACAAAATTGTACGAACGTGGTAATAAGCTGAACGTTGCAGTTGCACTAGGTTGTTTGAAACCCATACAATATCTTCAATCATTGTTACCGAAATTGTCAGGGCAGAGGGTTTGCTTTTGTAGTATTCAAGACAACTGAAGGCAGAGAAAATGTTATACGACTGCAGAAACGTGATTAGGTTAGGTTAGTTTAGCGGACGACATCGTAGAAACAAGTGAAAATGGAGATGAAGATTGGTTTTGTTTTATAAGCAGTGACGACGAAGCGATTGACGACGAAGATGACCACAGCAATGCTTCGTCGATCATCAACGACACAACGATACAACCATGGGTGCCGAATGTCAGCTCAAGTGAGGAAGACGAGTCCGAGGCAGACGGATTCTGGACACCGCCGTCGACCATGGAAGATGATTTTGAAGAAGTGGTAACCAGTAATACTGCGCGACGAGGCTCACGACGCATAAACACGGCCATAAGATCTAGAGTCAGCCGTCCGGGTGTGTTTGCTGTGAGGCGTGGACGACACCGCCAACCTGTAGCGTAAGTTACAACAACATCATTATAGCATATATTATTTAATTTTTAACGGACCACAACAATGTAGATGAAGTGACGACCATTTCGTTTCTGTGGGAGAATCCAGTGCAACTGTGGAAATCATTGGGAGTCGTCCGGAACATCAGTAACTACGAACGCTAATCGGCTCACCACTGAGGAGGAATCGTCGCGAAGGATAATGGATGAGTTACCGCGGCATAATGACCTGGAATATTTAATTCATGAATTTGTTACAGAGAACGGGGAGACTTTTATAATATCGGATGACGAGATTGATGCTCCACAGATACCAAGTGTGGGGGATACTATTTTAATATCAGATGATGAAATTTCAGTCACCACAGATACCAATGAATAATGAAGTGCAGCAAGATACAACACCTGCAGTTGGAAAGTAGACGTCTCGACATGCCCCATAAGTGCAACACGCTTACGACATCTTATAAAAAAATTATATCCTTCTTAGATATAAAAGTCATTAGTCTAGAGAAGCTAGGTGGTATTTAGAAAACAAAAAATATGAAATGAGATGTTAAAAAAGGATGAGGGCAGTAGAAAATGTATTCAATTGGGGTGTCAAGAGTTAAATCAGAAGAAAAGATATTGCTTGGCGTAGAGGCGTCGAGGCGCCAGTTCTTAGATGCCATTAGGGCATCTTACGAAATGATAGAAATATGGCTCAGTCATCTCATGAGTGACTGTAATAGTTTGAAGATTGTTTTTTTGGTATGGGCTAAAATTTTTATCGTAAGAGACCACTATGTAGAAGTAGTTAGAGAACCTAACGCAGAGATCCAATCGAATGATCTGGATTTGTTTATACAAGATATTAATTTCAGTGATTCGGAGTCTTCGAGCTGCGAATCTGAAATATCGTCGGCCGAAAATGAACACACATCTGATATATATTTTGATGATGGTGAATTTAATGAATATTCATCAATTAACCGGTATAATATGAATGATCATATAACAAATAAGTCACACAACCAAAAAATAATGCGTCGGCAGTGGCTGAAACGACATGAGCAGCGGTTGAAACGGCGGCAGCAACTACGAGATCGTTTTAAGATTAGTCGACTTGAATCGGGCTCTTCGGCCGGGCCAGACGACGTGTGTGTGTCAAACCGAAACCAACCCTCGCCACGCATCGATGCTATTACCACTATGCACTGGACGATGAAGAATCTTGTATTAATGATGAGCTACCCTGCTAACGCAATAGTAGACGGATAGTAAAAACCAACAATTTGTCGTCCGACACTGCGACGTACACCAGCGCAATGATCTGAAACGTGCCGCAAGCATCTGACATGTTATAAATTATCTAGATGTTTTGGTATGTAGACACATTTTTATAAGTCTGCTTCTGTTTAATGTTAACCCTTTCATTACTCCAGATGTACCATTATATTCCTGTGTTTTCGAATGTTGCCATTTCTATTAAATATACAGTTTTAGGTAAGCCTTTCTCACATTATGGTATACTTAAATAATTAGGTCATAAACCTAGATCCTTAAATATAAATTTCAAAAACGTGGGATGACTAAATATAATCATGCAATTCCATAACCGTGAACCAGAGGAGATAACTGACCACAGAGTTTTAAGTCCGAACCAAATGCTTTTCAGCGTTATCTGTAACCATTAGGGAGTGTATTTCAAAACAAAGTGATCCTGAAATTGGAGACTAATTCTTGTGCAAAAAAAACAAACATTCTATGTTGTCGACTGTCACGGCAGAATCCCATGGTAGCTATATCGAGAGAACACTTAAAACATTTAAGCCAGAAAAAGAAATATACCGAAGCTTATCGTGTGGTCGGTATTTCGACCAGTTAGGCCAATGGCATTCACACGATGAGTTGTATCTCAAGCATCTCGGAGATTACCACTCGACCAAATTTGTAATTCGAATTGACCAATATAGTTTTGTTGTGATCAATTGATGAATATAAATTGGATTCCTGATGGAAGGAAATACGCCTTGGCATTGTTTATCGTAAAACAATTAATTTTAGATAGTTTGATGAAAACACTTCATGATAAGACACCAAAATAAAATAATTATTTAAAAAAATAGAGGATAATAAGAAATAATAAGAAAAAGTGATTTGTAAAGAACAAAATGATAAAAAGAGTAGAGATAAATAGTGAAAACATAAATAAAACTAGGTATGGTAGAATAGTTCGACGATGATTAGTTCATAAAAGGACCGGAAGGATTTTTTATCTTCGACCAACCCGGGACACGATCCCACGTTGCTGACTACCCTGAGGACTGATGAAGTGACGACCATTTCGTTTCTGAGGGAGAATCCAGTGCTACTGTGGAAATCATTGGAGGTCGTCCGGGACATCAGTAACTACGAACGCTAATCGGCTCACCACTGAGGAGGAATCATCGCGAAGGATAATGGATGAGTTACCGCGGCATAATGACCTGGAATATTTAATTCATGAATTTGTTACAGAGAACGGGGAGACTTTTATAATATGGGATGACGAGATTGATGCTCCGCAGATACCAAGTGTGGGGGATACTAAAGTTACAAGAATAGTTTCCCTATGGTATATTAAAAAATATTAACTGTCATTTTTTTAAATTAAGGAACTAATAAATAATACAATTTTGATACTTTATCAATGTATTGAAGTGAAGCATATTTTTTTTATTTTTTTTTATAGGTATTAAATTATTAGATTTATGATGTATGTTTTCAATTCTTTTAATTCTAACTTATTATTTCAAAACTCAAGTTATAACAAAATTGTACGAACGTGGTAATAAGCTGAACGTTGCAGTTGCACTAGGTTGTTTGAAACCCATACAATATCTTCAATCATTGTTACCGAAATTGTCAGGGCAGAGGGTTTGCTTTTGTAGTATTCAAGACAACTGAAGGCAGAGAAAATGTTATACGACTGCAGAAACGTGATTAGGTTAGGTTAGTTTAGCGGACGACATCGTAGAAACAAGTGAAAATGGAGATGAAGATTGGTTTTGTTTTATAAGCAGTGACGACGAAGATGACCACAGCAATGCTTCGTCGATCATCAACGACACAACGATACAACCATGGGTGCCGAATGTCAGCTCAAGTGAGGAAGACGAGTCCGAGGCAGACGGATTCTGGACACCGCCGTCGACCATGGAAGATGATTTTGAAGAAGTGGTAACCAGTAATACTGCGCGACGAGGCTCACGACGCATAAACACGGCCATAAGATCTAGAGTCAGCCGTCCGGGTGTGTTTGCTGTGAGGCGTGGACGACACCGCCAACCTGTAGCGTAAGTTACAACAACATCATTATAGCATATATTATTTAATTTTTAACGGACCACAACAATGTAGATGAAGTGACGACCATTTCGTTTCTGTGGGAGAATCCAGTGCTACTGTGGAAATCATTGGAGGTCGTCCGGGACATCAGTTACTACGAACGCTAATCGGCTCACCACTGAGGAGGAATCATCGCGAAGGATAATGGATGAGTTACCGCGGCATAATGACCTGGAATATTTAATTCATGAATTTGTTACAGAGAACGGGGAGACTTTTATAATATCGGATGACGAGATTGATGCTCCGCAGATACCAAGTGTGGGGGATACTAAAGTTACAAGAATAGTTTCCCTATGGTATATTAAAAAATATTAACTGTCATTTTTTAAATTAAAGAACTAATAAATAATACAATTTTGATACTTTATCAATGTATTGAAGTGAAGCATATTTTTTTTATTTTTTTTTATAGGTATTAAATTATTAGATTTATGATGTATGTTTTCAATTCTTTTAATTCTAACTTATTATTTCAAAACTCAAGTTATAACAAAATTGTACGAACGTGGTAATAAGCTGAACGTTGCAGTTGCACTAGGTTAGGTAATATCTTCAATCATTGTTACCGAAATTGTCAGAGCAGAGGGTTTGCTTTTATAGTATTCAAGACAACTGAAGGCAGAGAAAATGTTATACGACTGCAGAAACGTGATTAGGTTAGGTTAGTTTAGCGGACGACATCGTAGAAACAAGTGAAAATGGAGATGAAGATAGGTTTTGTTTTATAAGCAGTGACGACGAAGCGATTGACGACGAAGATGACCCCAGCGATGCTTCGTCGATCATCAACGACACAACGATACAACCATGGGTGCCCAATGTCAGCTCAAGTGAGGAAGACGAGTCCGAGGCAGACGGATTCTGGACACCGCCGTCGACCATGGAAGATGATTTTGAAGAAGTGGTAACCAGTAATACTGCGCGACGAGGCTCACGACGCATAAACACGGCCATAAGATCTAGAGTCAGCCGTCCGGGTGTGTTTGCTGTGAGGCGTGGACGACACCGCCAACCTGTAGCGTAAGTTACAACAACATCATTATAGCATATATTATTTAATTTTTAACGTACCACAACAATGTAGATGAAGTGACGACCATTTCGTTTCTGTGGGAGAATCCAGTGCTACTGTGGAAATCATTGGAGGTCGTCCGGGACATCAGTTACTACGAACGCTAATCGGCTCACCACTGAGGAGGAATCATCGCGAAGGATAATGGATGAGTTACCGCGGCATAATGACCTGGAATATTTAATTCATGAATTTGTTACAGAGAACGGGGAGACTTTTATAATATCGGATGACGAGATTGATGCTCCGCAGATACCAAGTGTGGGGGATACTAAAGTTACAAGAATAGTTTCCCTATGGTATATTAAAAAATATTAACTGTCATTTTTTAAATTAAAGAACTAATAAATAATACAATTTTGATACTTTATCAATGTATTGAAGTGAAGCATATTTTTTTTATTTTTTTTTATAGGTATTAAATTATTAGATTTATGATGTATGTTTTCAATTCTTTTAATTCTAACTTATTATTTCAAAACTCAAGTTATAACAAAATTGTACGAACGTGGTAATAAGCTGAACGTTGCAGTTGCACTAGGTTGTTTGAAACCCATACAATATCTTCAATCATTGTTACCGAAATTGTCAGGGCAGAGGGTTTGCTTTTGTAGTATTCAAGACAACTGAAGGCAGAGAAAATGTTATACGACTGCAGAAACGTGATTAGGTTAGGTTAGCTTAGCGGACGACATCGTAGAAACAAGTGAAAATGGAGATGAAGATAGGTTTTGTTCTATAAGCAGTGACGACGAAGCGATTGACGACGAAGATGACCGCAGCGAGGCTTCGTCGATCATCAACGACACATCGATACAACCATGGGTGCCGAATGTCAGCTCAAGTTAGGAAGACGATTCCGAGGCAGACGGATTCTGGACACCACCGTCGACCATGGAAGATGATTTTGAAGAAGTGGTAACCAGTAATACTGCGCGACGAGGCTCACGACGCATAAACACGGCCATAAGATCCAGAGTCAGCCGTCCGGATGTGTTTGTAAAGAGACACTATTGCAAATTTATCATGTAATCTTAGTGACAGTTCTGAAGAACATGGAAACAAAGAAGAAATACATCATGCCCGAAACGATAATACAGTGAACAATGAAAATTTAAAAAGAAATCAACGTGTTGATGATGACTTTTGGAAAAAGAAAAATACAATAAATAAGAAAACTTTTCACATGTGCCTAACTAACGATCGATTTTTACTCCCAACAGTGAACAAGAATTTTACCAGCTATCACCGTTCGAGCGCGGGCTAACCTTTAACGGCTTCGCTCGTGACCTCGAACCGGAAAAGATAGGCGTCCATCAGCTTGAAGGCTATCAACGGGACCTTTTATACAGGGTAAAATGGAGAACTATGGAAGAATCCAAATTAATAGAGGCTAGTGTTATGAATGCGTATAGACGTGACTTGATAGTTGACTACTTTGTGACGATTGCTAAAAAGTCTTTATAACGACCGGGGCTGGCGAAATGTACGTGACATTTGATCTTTATTCTTTAAATTTGGCAAAACCTAAAATTTTTAATACCGTTCAAGACATTGAAATGTCCCAAATTTTAAACAAACAACAATCATGTGCTCCTTGTTTTGGCGTTTCCCTATTGCGACTTTCTTTTTGGACATGCAGTTTGTCAGTGTTCATGACTACCACATACCCTTGCATCCTAGGGGACCTACAAACCTGGCGGTCCATGATCTTACATCAAACGACCATGCGATCATAAAATTTGCCGCAGAATATAAGGTGACCGTATAAAAAGGGAAGAGTATCACAGAGATACGACTGCAGAAATGTGATTTGATATAACTTCTGTAAGACCTTAGAGGCCAATCGAACGGCGATAACAGCTGATCTCGAGTGTCCAGACGCTGAGACCTGTAAGACAGGACTCTCAGAAGAGCTGCAAACAGCCTGTGAAACCCACATGCGACGTGCAATGATCGGTAAGCACAGACCCCCGCCGTCGTGGAACCAGGCGATTGAAAAGGAGTTGAAGAGACTCGGCAGTTAAAGGCGCGACTGAGAAACAATTCGAAGGCCCTTAGTTGACGGCCGTTAAGAAAAGTCTTTATTAGAGAAAAATAAACCAAAAAAAAAAAAGAATTCGCATTAAAGCAAAGAGAGATACCTGGAGAGAATACGTATCGAATGTAGGGAATGAGCAACCATGAGGCTCTGTTTACAAATGGCTTGAAACAGGAGACCAGAAACCGTCTGAGTCTCCCAATCGCCATCCGTAAAGCGGACAGTACCTACACCAACTCAATTGAGTATACAGTAAAAACACTATTGGAAGTCTTGGTCCCGGGTGACAATGTATTAAACGATACCGCGGAACAGTCTGTTACAGGGATGTATGCGGGTGAATTTAGACCAGCATTACCCGCAACTAGGATACTCTGATCCGACCCACCTGGTTTGAGCGACAAGGAGGAAGTAAAGGCCATTTGGAGAATGAAACCAAAGAAGGTTGACTAAGACAATATTTTTGATATAGAAAATACAGAAAATGTGCCATGGACATTAAATGAAGATATAACATGCTCACACGGTAACTTATTTATAGCTGAAGAGACAATGATATTCGTTCCTCAAGAAGTAAAAACTATATTTCAACTTAACTTTCCTAAAGTAGAACTTTTTCTAAAAACACCAAACCATGTAGACGGTGTAAGGCATATTATAAAAATGTATTCAATCCGATAATGATAAATTTTATGAGTGGTGATGTACAGAAAAAATATTTAGGTCCTTTAGTATGTGATAATTTAAGACCTTATCACACGGTAGTAAATGTTCCATATTTTTGCATTCCCAAGGACTTTATTAAATCTTGGCAAACATCTGTTACCAACCCTCGTGAAAAACTCAAGCCCATAATGATTTATAACAAATCCCTCCTTTGCCAAGATCACAATGAATTGTTATTTGAGCCAACATCTAATTTTGTCGCAACAGAGCAGACTGTATCAGTGATAATAACTAAAGAAGAATGGTTAAATCTGTTAGATTTTTATCGAGCTGATTGTGGAGTATTTGCCTATTTTGATAAATATGGAATATTTAAAAATTCCATACCAAAAGTGTGTGGGATATGTAATCCGGGCAAAGTAAGAAAGTTTGGGGATTACATTGGATTATATGGATTACATCAATACAAATTTAACCAAAAACGTTGCTGTAGTAGGAACTGAATTTAAGGGGATTCGATACTGTTATTTTCTGTGTTTGTCCAACACACGCGCGACATAGTATTTTTTCCTAAGTATCTGAATAGACCGACAACACGATGGAATATAATATAGCAACTATATTAATCTTGTTTGCTATCATCTCCTTCGTGGTGGCAGACTCGGGTTCAAAAGAAGAAATTAATCGAACAGGTACTTATATTATGTTTAAAATAATTGACCATTGTTAAACGAAAAAAATAAATAAATAAAGTATTTGCACGCGCAACACGCAAAATAAAGTTAAGTAATAAGAATAAGGTGAAAAATAAGATCGCGGAAGAGAAGGAGGAACAAAGCCATAAAATTTCGTAAGAGACTATAATTGTATAATATATATACCAATAATGAGGTAATGCATATAACGATAATGCATTGTTGTATGAAGCAATATATTTGAAATAGCACAACAGAGACTCTGGATACAGTTTTGAAGCGCACGACCTTTATCATGACCGAAGACGAGAGTACTAGCCCCGTGCTCATACAGGATATATTTTAATCCAAATGTCGAGACAAATATCAAAAAATAAATGTTAAATAAACATAAATCACTTTTAAGAAAATATGTTCTTGACGGAGATACTATGTACAGCTTTCGAAAACATGAACCAGAAGTAAGTCTTTTCTAATATTTTATACCTAAATACATTTTTGTTTTACCAATTTGTTACAGAAATTTACCATAAACGAAGACAGTGGTTCTAGTGGTTCGTTGGTAATTATCAGTATAAATTATATAGGTAAAACTGAAGGAAGGGAAAGGACAGAAATTGTCTTAGAAATTGTAGATAAATGCTTCAGATATGCACCATTTATACGGGTTAGGTTAGGTTAGGTTCACGGGAGTTAATGTGGTATTATATATTAAACGATCAATTTCCGCTTTTACCTTAGATTTTAGTGCTAAAAGAATTGACCTTGGCTTGAAAAACTTGAGTATTTCCCCCTTTTTAATGTTTAGCGATATTTAGTATTTATTAAAGGTGCAAATTACATGTTTGAATAAATGCTTGAAATTTTTTAAGATGTTCTCTACATTTTCGTCTACATTTACAGTGTTATAAATTGGAGAATAGTTTATTGTTTTTAAATCAGTTCTACCAACTAAAGGTGGTCCTCCGTTTTTATTACGTAAATACACATTTTGTTAACAATTTAATTTTAAAATCTATTTAATATGTAGTTATATATATTTTCCGTTATTTGATAAAGGTTAACATATTTAAAATAAATATTTTTTTTTTTTAGAACTAAAACTGAAGAAGAAAGAATCACAATTGACACCAAAATTAAAGTAGAAATAGATTTCATTGACCATTATGAATATCAAGGAACATCAACTTTCAACTGAAAGCAACTTTTCAGAATTTTTTACTCCTGCAAATTTGGACTTGACATCTAACTGCTTAACGAAAAATCAATTGACTAATAACCGTGGTAAAATATCTACAGCATTCAATTTAACTGTGGATACAATAACACACACGCATATATATGTGCTATTTGTGATAGACCTTTTTCCCGGAAAAAAAATTTAAATCCCATATAGCCACACATTCTAACGAAAAGCCGTATATCAAGAAATATGGAAATCTTAATGATCATTCAAGACAATATAAAAAAAAATTTGGAGTATACTATACATGTAAGTATTGCGACACCGTATTTTCAAGAGGTGTAAGACTTAAGAGGCATTTGAAGGAACATGAAAAATCATCAAGCCGAGTATATGGTACTCAAGTTTAAATATCAATAATTATTTCAAAAAGGGTATGTATTAAATATACATCAAAATGTAATATTACATTTGTAACGAGCTGTGACTACGTATATATTAATAATAGTAATAATATATTATTTTATATTGTATTAGGTAAAATACGATTATAATATATATATTATACTCAAAATAAATAAATGTTGCAGGAAGCACGTAACCCCGGTAATTGTAATAATATCAGCATCCGAGCGGCCACATCGATAAGAACTAATTAATGGTACAGCGCGAACACGTGATAGGTATACGCGCGCAATTTCCATATTCTAGGAAAGACGAAAAAGCCGTAAACAGCACAAATAGATAACTTTGGAAACATATAATCCGTAATTAACATCATTTTTCATAAAAGACGTCAGAAATGACCTCAGGCAGATGCGGCGCGTGTACTATTTTTATACTAAAAATGCCATAGGAGGGACCTATTCCAGCCACCAAGTCGATACTAAGTCACATCTCGTTTACCACATTATTATAAATTAATTATTTGGACTTAGACTATTTTACGTATTAAATAAATACAAATAAACTATCATTATACCATCAACTTGTTATTTTATTCAAAATACATCAAAACTGAGTTGAAGTGGTTAGCACGTTACACATTTTAGATGGTGTTTGAAGTTTGAAATATTTCACCATAGGATGTTATACCTTAGCAAAAATACATTGAAAATTCCATTGTTGTTGTTGATAGTAATGCATTTTGAGAAAATCAAACAAACTTAATAAGCTGATCTTATTTTTTTTTTTTTATGAAACAAAAACAATATTTTACGCTCGTTGGATTTTTATAAAATTATATATTTAATTGAAATTCTTCAAAAATACGTTTTTTCTTAACACAACATATTTTAAATAATTCATGTATAGTATAATATTTAAAAAACAAACAATTTAATATACTGATAATGATTTTATATTACTTAACATTGTAACACATAAAACTATTTGTCTAGCAGTCATTCTGTCTTTTTTTTTTTATCAACTCATTTTCGAGTCATTTTATATTCTATTTTTATTTTTATTTACACATTTACATTATACCTCATCAGTTAAAATGACTTCAGCAACACAGCTCTTATTTTATTGGTAATTTATTCTTAAATTCATAATTAAGATTATAATACTAATTGTGTATACTTATATAACAACTACTTGTAAAATACTTCTTACCACACATTTGATAACCATTTCTTTGACTGTTAATGCACAGTGTTTTGTACAACTCTATTGTATGTAGGCATATGAATTATCAATATACCTATTATTTTCAGACAGTCGAAATGTTTTTACCACAAGCTAGCATATACATCAAAATAAATATGTTTGAGCTTATTGGTTGTAATTCACTATTCAATGTTCATTCAATTATGACAAATATATTATGAGCTTGCGAGTTGTTTCAACCACGCCAGGGGCCCACACATATACATGGATTGAAGAATATATAATCAAAGTAAACTACTCCATGTATCAGTTGAATGTTGTATAATAAGTATTCACAATTGCCATACCTATGCAATAATGTCAACGATTAATATGTTATATCTTCTTTTTTTTCTTTAATACATTTCGAAACAAATGTGTTAGAAGAGAACAAATAGCTATTATACAAGTATAGGTACACAATAATAGTTGATTAATTATTGAAATAGTATAATAGTTAAATAAAATTCCTAGCATTTTTATTTATAAATAATTACATTAAATGTAGTTGAAGTAAAAATCATTAATTCATAATTCTGAACCAAATTATACCATGCATATTAGTTAATATGTTCAATTAAGAAAACGTGTAACATTTTAAACCTCATCAACAAGCATAAAATTGTTTTTATATCATAAAATAATCGCCACCATTATTAAATAAAATGGAAATTTCCACGATTAAAAAAATACAAATTTGTTATAAAGAAATTAAATTAACACGCCGTAAAAGTATGAAGGTGATCAGTTATTACAACGACCTTTGTATGACATCACAACAACAACAAAATATGTTAAATCTCAAATGAAAAGTTGCTTAGTTGACCATCGATCAAAATATTAAACATAAATGTGGATAAAAATTAACTAAGGACTTTCCAGAAAATGATTGCTATACTAACCTTGCATATAATTAATGTTCTTATACCTAAAATATGCGGATTTGTACAAAAAATCACGAAATATTCAAAATTATGCAACAAACATTATTGTATTTGTAATATACTTACAATGAATCAAATTTGTATCGAATCAGATTTTCAATATGCACTTTCTAAACAAATATGCAAATGCTTAAAGTTCCGAGCCTTGGTAAGACTAATAACATACTTACATACCTATACTTTCATATTTATTTATTTTTTTATTTATTTATTTGTTAATGAGCTGGGCCCTATTCAACAGTTTAACATAATACAATAATACATATAATTTATTAACATATTATGTTTGAATCAACTTAATATTAAATATGTATATCATTTCTAAACGCTGCGAAATGACAACATTTATTTCAAAAACTTGTATGATTAAACCTCGCGTTCAACATAATGTTGAATGATGCATATAAAATCAAACAGAATTTGAAAGAACATCACCTTTTCACAACATTAAGATATGATCAATCTAATATTAAATTATAATAACTAGGGCTTGGGTGTTGTTACATTAATTTTATTAAAATTAATAATTCATTTACTAAGACTAAAGGTTATGGCTAGACTTAGAGACTTAAAAGCTTTAAACACAAACATATACGCATACAAATATGAGCAAATATGTATATTCTAGAAGTCTAGAACAAGAAACTGAATTTATTAAAAATGTATTTAATTATTATTAATGTATTATCAATTTTTCCTTTTTTTTTTTTAAATAATTGTACCTATTGCTCCAATGGCTTAAGCAAAAAAAAAACGATAGGCCCATAGGAGGGTTTAACATCTGTAGCATGGATCATCACATGGAAGTCACACAATATTTACACAACGTTGGAAGGGGTTTGTGTCCTCAATAATTTTACATAATATTTATTATTAATAATATAAAATTAAAAATAAATATCATTCAGTTGACAAATAGGCAATAGCTAATTATACCAAATTGTTGTATAAATGTTATTATACTGCATACAATTATTTAAAATGTATACAAATAGGTTAGGTACCTGTATCTGTATTTTTGACTAATGTAG